GGGCTCTTAATCTTATGCATGTTGGGGTCAATATTTTAAATATATTTATATAATATGTGTTGATTTACTCAACAAAAATAATAGTTTATAATGCTTCATCAAATCTAACTTGGCACAAAACAAAATGAAATAGTATAATTTATAAGCTATCACAAAACCCAAGACCAAAGGATTTATAAGATACTTAAGCTAATTGATTGAATTTTAGCTAGATTATGATGTATGTGAAATAAGATTAAATTTATTATTTAAAGAGTTTCATTTCTACTCTCATTTATATAAGTAAAGAAAATTAAATGCATATCCCATTCATTTATTATGTTTTCCTTTTTTTGGATAATGGGGTGGTTGGATGGGCTGGGTTAGTATATTTTTTGGGCTACACACTAATGGGTTTGGAATAGAAGTATGAAAAAATAGGTCTCTATTGATGTGTGGTGCCAAAAAAGGCTACAAAACAATTGTTTTCAATTAATTTTGCCTCCTTGTAAAGTACTTTCATAAATTCCATTTTACAAAAGGATGTTGATGTTGATTGAAAGTCTCATTAGATTAAATATAATGGAGTCTTGAAATAAAAAATGCATATATTTATTAAATGAATATAGTCGAGTCTCGCAAAATTTTCGCGCGTTCACTAATTCGGCCAAGCTCGAGTTGAATTTTAAATCGTTTACTAAATGAGTACAAATTCATACATGAATTGGTTAATTTGTTCGGCTCAGCTGGAATAATACTCGTATATATCCCGAAAATATTCATGAGAATTTGTTTTTATTATTAAATGAAATTCACCTTTTTTATGTAAGAACAAACTATTGGAGATGTAATGATTATGTAACCTAATTGGACGTCAACTAGATAGTCAAACCTTAATTATTAGATACTTTAACTAACTAATCAAACTGATGACTTGTCATTAAATTGCTGCCTATAATAATGCTAAGACAGGTGCATATGAACCATAACATGAGATGTGACTTTTTTTCTATTTTTCCATGTTTACTTATTCTATCATTCTTATTAAGTGGAATAAATATGATTTCAATAAGATGTCTATTTAATTTGATTTGATTTTTACATGATAAAAATCCAAATTGAAGAAATTAGTTATAATTTATTTGGTTGGTATAATTTATAGCGAAATAATCTACTCATCGTGCATAATTAGCATATAGAACTAGAAGTGTTATGTGAAATATGTCGCTAGCTCGAGCTTGTTCAATTAATGAGTCGACCGTAAAATTTGTTAGCGTTGAAAAACAAAGTTTTTTATGTAAGTTTATGATCTTCAAACATAATTCAACTATATTCGATAAAGACTCAAACCAGAGTTCGGGTATTAAGAGTTAAAATTCGACTCAACTCGTTTATAGTTCTACTAACATATCAAGAATCCCCATCTATTCATGTTGCACAAAATATATATATATAAAAAAAATAATAATAAATAAAAAATTGAACTATTCATCATACAACTGAAGGGCACAAAGGTAATTTCACTGAGTGAGTAGATGAGAAGTCAGCATCAAGAGACTCTGTCTATATATATATATATATATATCACATCATTAAAGACTGTGTGTTGTTCCATCACATTCAATGACATAAATGGGCAGAATTTGACAATGAAATGGAAAATCAGTTGCATGTTTTCCATTTTTTATTTTTCTTTATCAATTTTATGATTAATGTGCCCTTTCAACAATTCTATTCTGTTGGACAAATTGGTAAATTATAATTTTTTATAGCATATACTTACAAACATAACAGAAACAAAAATAATTATTTTTTAAAATAAATGTGTATTTTACAATAATAGTAATAATAATAATAATAATAATAATAATAATAATAATAATAATAATAATAATAATAACTAGATCCATTCACTTAAATTTTGCTGCCTCATAGTGTTATATTAATTATTACATTATATATGTTTGGTGGAAAATTTTCAGCATACTGAATATTCAAATATTCAAATGCTTTAAATGGGTAATTTTCACTCGAAAGAGTTTTTTAACCGTTGGATCAACACAATTAAAATCAGTGGACAGATCGAATTTGCCCATTGAAGGTAACAAAGCCACATCTATTGGGCCGAATTTGAATTTCGAAGCCCATAGACAAATTATTATTTATTGGTGGATATTTGCATGAAGGCCTTCATTTTAGTCCATCAAAGGTCCATTTGAGAAAAAAAAAATTAAAAAAAAATAAAAATAACCATATCAAATATCAAGATTTGACATTAAAAATGATTCAACACATACATGAACTAAAAGAACATCATCTCAAACATTTATTTATGACACATCACAAACAAAGCTTAATAATTACTGACATCAGCTTGAGCAAAATTTCTCTCACTCAAGAAACAAATTTGACAACACTCTCAAGTATATTGGGCCGTCCCCTGTTTTGGGCCGCATTAGTCACTTCCTGCAAGCATGACGTTTGTATCAAGTCCATCTTTCTTCGCCCTAAAATCACTCACCAAACTGAAATGGGAAAAAAACCTTAAAATTTGAAATTCAACATTTGGGCAGATCTTTAGGAGGTGGCAAAATGGACTGGTTTGGGCCCTTTCCATTATCCACCAAGAATGCCATTTTTAAGCCCCAAGTTGTGTGCACCTCCAAATGGCAATGCATAAACCAAACCCCTACAAAAAATTAAATGAAATCAAATTAATTAAACAAATAATAACAAAATAGTGAAGAAATAAATCTTTTTGTTGTTTTGAAATTGTTTGTAAAGGTAATCTACTTGGTTTACTAGGTAGATTACTCAATCATGTATCATCAAGATTATGTTAGTTGATTTTGACCATCTCAATCATGTATCATCAAGAT